CTAAACTTCCTTCGATAAATATATGATATATTCAAGACATGATGTGCACACATGTATATATACATATATAAGTATGGCTTGTATGTTATGCATGTTTGGTTGTGCATTGGGTTTTTCGTGTTGCTTTACATGCAGGTTCTCGCATACGTTTCACATCTAACCTTCAACATCCTGTAACCTAAGTAACACAATGGCAACACCAAGAAGCAACACCAAGGCCATCCAAGACATGCCAAGGGGTCCCAGCTGCAGGACGGAATTTGATAGGTACATTCCACCGGGCAGGGCCTATGTGGCGAACAAGGAGCGGTGCAGCGCATTGTAGAGTGGAGGCATGCAACGTAGAGAGTCCAGCATGTGGGTCGTTAAGGAGCAAAGATTAAGATCCGCATGGAGGTTGGTCTTCTGACAACAAAGAAAAGGTCATTAAAGCAACGCTGGGGATCATTGTAGCCGAATCATTTGACAATCTTGCTGAAGTTGCCGAAGACTACTGACTGACTGACTGGCTGACTGACTGACTGGCAGGATCTGATTCGTTTGCTGCAAGACATCCTTCCACAGATGTCCAGGGACCCGCTCTTCAGGCGAGCAAGCTTGCTGGCCAAGCCATAGGGGGTTTCGTTGGTTTCCCATTCGCAAATATGGGGATTGGTCATGATGGGTCCATCCCTAGGATTTGCCATATGAATGAGGGGGATGAAGATCCGTGACTGCCAGCAGCTTTTTTCTTCATATCCACACCGAGGTTTTGAGCTTAATTATTAGACGAGAGAGAGAGAGAGAGTTTACTCTATCGATATTGAATCAATACACCTTGTTTTTTTGTTTTTAGGACCTCACTTCATAAATCCAATAATAATTACTAAAGGGAGGGGGCGCTGAGGCTGCCATTACTTTATGATGAGCAGACCATGATCTATAATCACCTTGCCTAATGGTTGTCCATATATACATATATCTATATATACATATATCTATATATACATATACCTATAACTAATTATAATCTACAACTGCACTAGCTTTAATGATTATAATACCTCTACTGCCCACTCTAGCCACTATGTTAGCCAAATGTTGGGGTAAGTATCCCAGAGTGATTTTTAGTAGCTGCAGCTATTTGAAAATGGCTTTGTTTCAGTTTGGTTGCGTTTTAAAAAACATGTTGACGGGGTTCAAAGAAAGGCTAGCCAAAAATCAGCCAAATGCCCCATGATAAACAAACTGTCAACCTTGGAATGATAGATACAATAACATATGGTGGTAGTTGTTTTTGGATATAGTATATAAAATGGATATCCACAATCCGTTTGAGTCAGCACCTTGTCAATACCGAGCTCGCCTTCGCAACAGGCCTGAGTTGCGCGGCATCCTCCGGCAAGTCGAGGTCGAAAGCACCGGAAAGCTAGGCGAACCATCCGCCGTGGGACATTAAAGAGTGGGACTCCGCGGTGATTTTGCAAAATGAAAAACAATGACCATCTTCAATCTGGGTAATGTAATGTCACGTAATGTTCATGTCAGGCAATGCACGAAGAGACTATACGCTATAATAGGTGCACAGGTTTGCATTTAGCTATAATAATTTAATTCTATATATATATATATATTCACATGTATATAACCATACAATATAAATAATATAATACATAATATATTTAATACATCATATATATGATATGTTATATTTTTTATATTTGAAGCTTACATATATATATATGTAGGTACATACGTATACATATACATATTGTATATTGTTTTTACACACATAGATACATACATGGATATATATATATATATATATATATGCATACATACATGAATACATACACACATACATACATACATACATACACACTTACATACATACACACTTACATACATACACACTTACATACTTACATACTTACATACTCACATACTTACATTACTTTACTTTACTGTGCTTTACTTTACTTACATTACATACCTACATCCATACATACATGCATGCATACATCCATACATCCATACATCCATACATACATACATACATTTTAACATTCGCCCGTCGCATCCCGCATCCCTATGCCTTCTATCTATTTATCTACTTTGCATGTTTGCATATTATACACACACATATACACCTTGGACCTTACAAGTTAATAAAATAATTACCCGTTTTAGAGACTTGGCATCTACTTCAGGATGATTGTATAAACGGGATTAAACTAGTATATCCCCATGACTAGCTATATTTCAGTTTACCGCCATTTCATGCACCTGGCAAGAGGTTTCTCAAAGTATTTGACCTTCCTGCAGCTGTGCACATCAGCCAAGGCCAGCCGCCCTTACTGGGGTCACATGTCGTCAAATGGGAAGCATGGGCTAGGCCCCATCGTTGATTTACTAATATTTATATAGTATGATCATTATCGACTAAGACTAAGAACCAATGAAGATATCAGCCAATGGGGTTACGATAGGATTTGGGGTTTCAACTGTTTGACTGGCACTTTTTTTAACCCGAAAAAGCGGGGAACACCACGCAAAATTCATTTCCAACAGAGGATGGTTTTCAACCCATTTCTGGTGAAAGTCATGGAGGATGCTTCCCATTGGGCTGACAAATGCTGACAACATCCATGATCATCCATGATCACGGTCATACTCCCCAACAAAAAATCATGAGCTCCGACCATTGTGCCTGAGTCGATGTTGGCACCGCAGTAGTTTGGACGCTGTTCCTATAGGAATTATGATGAGTTCAATGTTGAGCCCAGATGGACTTACACATGGAGCCATGTCTGTATCGTCCGAAAGGAAATCCGATTGCAACCCTGCCAGTTCTGTACCGTAAACGGGTAGCTTATAATCCCAGTGTTGCTATGTTCTGGTGTGTATTGATACGTCCTTTATAGCATGTGTATATATATATATATATTTATTTATTTATTTATATTTATTATATATATATATTATTATAATATATATACATATTATTAAATAGATGTGTGTGTGTGTCTTTGAAAATGTCTTTGAGATAGATACTATATGCGTATAATTTATAAGTGGGCTCAACAGGGCACGTCAGCGTCGTTCCTCATGTTTCTTCATGGCCTGTTAGGAGAAAAGTGTGGCCCGACGACAACAGGCTGCAGTGGAGGTGTGGAGCGTGGACCCCTTCATTGCACCAGGGTTTTGGTTTAGTTTTCTTGGTGGGGGTGTTTATCACAGAGGAGAATTGATTAATGTTGTATCCTGATTAGTAGCTAGGTTCGGTATTGTGGCCAAAATTTTCCCAATTATTCTGGACTGCAATGTTTTGGAAGGCTCACTATTGTGGCAAGAATTCTTAGCATGTTTTTCTTCCAAAAAAATGTCTGTGTAAAAAAAATGAATTTCTGGAAAAATATTGCTCGTCTCCCTGCCCCAAAAGAATCAGACCGTTATTAAACCCTCATTAAAGAACAGTTTCTCCACAAATTTCCAAGGCACTGGGCCATGAGAGGGCACAGTTCTCTTTAGCAGGTTTGTTCTCAGGGTTCATAAATGCAGCGAACTTTTCCAAAGCTGATCGTGGAGCCAAGGTAAGAAAGAAACACCTTTTACAAAAGCACTTGAAAAGTTCAAAGACCAAGCCTTTCCCAGCCTTTCCCAAAAGAATCAGACCACTTATTAAATCTTTGTCAAAACACCAGTTTTCCCACACATTTCAAAGGCACTGGGCCATGAGTTGGCCCAGTTTTCTTTAGTAGAGCTGTTCTCGGGGTTCATTGTTGTAGCAAACTTTTCCAGAGCTGATCCTGGAGCCAAGAGAAGAAAGAAGAACCTTTTACAAAAGCAATTGAAGAGTTTAAAGCCCAAGCCTTTCCCAAACGAATCAGACCGCTTATTAGACCCGTATTAGAGAACAATTTTGCCACAAATTTCCAAGGCACTGGGCCATGAGAGAGCCCAGTTCTCTTTAGTAAGTTTGTTCTCAGGGTTCACAATTGCAGCAAACTTTTCCAGAGCTGATCCTGGAGCCAAGAGAAGGAAGAAAACCCCCTCCACAAGCAAAAGAAAAGTTCAAAGCCCAAGCCTTTTCCGAAAGAAGCAGACCGTTATTAAACCCTCATTAAAGAACAGTTTCTCCACAAATTTCCAAGGCACTGGGCCATGAGAGGGCACAGTTCTCTTTAGCAGGTTTGTTCTCAGGGTTCATAATTGCAGCAAACTTTCCCGAGCTGATCCTGGAGCCAAGAGAAGAAAGAAAAGGCCTTTTACAAAAGCAACCTTTTCTTATTTTTTCTCTTTCTCTGTCTCTTTCTCTTTTCCTTTCTCTTTCTCTTCTCCTTGCTCTTTTTCGTTTCCTTTATTTGTCTCTCTTCCTGTCTCTTTATCTTTCTCTTTCTCTTCCCTCTTTCTCTCTTTCTCTCTTTCTCTCTTTCTCTCTTTCTCTCTTTCTCTTTCTCTTTCTCTCTTTCTCTCTTTCTCTCTTTCTCTTTCTCTCTCTTTCTCTCTTTCTCTCTTTCTTTCTCTCTTTCTCTCTTTCTCTTTTTCTCTCTTTCTCTCTGTCTCTCTGTCTCTCTGTCTCTCTGTTCCTCTTCCTTTTCCTCTTCCTCTTCCTCTCTTTCTCTGGGTTCCTCTTCCTCCTTCCTCCTTCCTCCTTCCTCCTTCCTCTTCCTCTTCCTCTCCCTCTCCCTGTCTCTCTCTCTTTCTCTCTCTTTCTCTTTCTCTTCCTCCTTCTCTTTCTCTTTCTCTTTCTCTTTCTCTTTTTTTTTCTCTTTCTCCTTCTCTTTCTCTTTCTCTTTCTCTTTCTCGTTCTCGTTCTCGTTCTCGTTCTCTTTCTCTCGCCCTTGCTCTTTCTCGTTCTCTTTCTCTTTGTCTTTCTCTTTCTTTTTCTCTTTTTTTCTCTCTCCCTTTCTCTTTCTCTCTATCTTTCTCTTTCTCTTTTTCTTTCTCTTTCTCTGTATCTGTCTCTTTTTCTTATTCTTTCTCTTTCTCTTTCTCTTTTTACACTTTTAGAAAAAAATAAGGTGGAAAAGGTAACGCAAAATCAACATGCTGAACCCCCTCACTACAAGTACTACAAGTACTACACAAATCACAAGTTCATCGGCAAAAGAAACGGTTCAATTAGATTTCAATTGTCGACAATTGAAATCCTTAAATGCAGTATTTTTCTGGGGGTGAGTTTTTCACACCACACTTTTAAAGAGAGTACTGCATTTGTTGTGGGGGTCTGAGGCGGAATCCTCAGATTCGGGCAGGTTTCCTGCCTGAATGCATTCAGCCAGATATTACTGCCTGCATGATTATCTACGTATATATAAATATATATACAATATTACATGGAAAAAATTGAGATTTATCACTCAGCGTGCGCAAAGAACCCGGTGAAATCAACCTCTTCCAACAAGGTCCCTGCGAAACCTGTGCTGGTTGACCTTTTGCGAGATGCCTGACTCATGCGTTTGAGCTGTGCACATGGGGATGTTTGACTTTGGACGGGGTATGCTTGACTTAACACCCCGACCCAGTAGCAGGGAACCATGCCTTCCTGCAGGACATTTGTATCATTTGAATTTGCTTTGCTGCAATGCTTTCCCTCCGCAGATTAAATAATTGTGCCAGCAGATGTTCTCTTACTTATATACCTGTCGAAATGTGTATCTATTCAGTCAACATTTAAATAATTATATATATATGTATGTATGTGTATGTATACGTTTTATATATATATATATATATGTGTGTGTGTGTATATATATAATACATATATCTATATTTGCGTGTGTTTTGAATATATCCACATACGTTTATATATACTTCTGTTTTTGTTGTTATACATACATACATACATACATACATACATACATACATACACATACACATACACATACACATATACATATACATATACATATACATATACATATACATATACATATACATACAGACAGACATATAAATATACATACATACATACAGACATATACATATACATATACATACATACATACATACATTACATTATATTACATTACATTACATTACATACATACATACACATACATACATACATTACATACATTGCATACATTGCATACATTGCATACATTGCATACATTGCATACATTGCATGCATACATACATATTTACATACATCACATACATCACATACATCACATACATACATCACATACATCACATACATCACATACATCACATACATACATCACATACATCACATACATCACATACATACATACATACATACATACATACATACATACATTGCATACATTGCATACATTGCATACATTGCATACATTGCATACATTGCATACATTGCATACATACATTACATACATTACATACATTACATACATTACATACATTACATACATTACATACATTACATACATTACAAACATTACATACATTACATACATTACATACATTACATACATTACATACATTACATACATTACATACATTACATACATTACATACATACATACATACATACATGCATCCATCCATCCATCCATGCATGCATGCATACGTACATACATACATATATACATATATATATATACATATGTGTGTATAGATACAACCATCAACTTGGCAAATTGTCCACAGGAGGTTGGCTTCAACCAAATCGAGTTGCAGGAGCTTCGTGATCTCTTCCTGGATGTGCCACGGCGCTTTCAATTCCAGGGCGATGATTGATCCCATGTCAAGATTATTTGTTTTAATTATTATAGATATATTTTCCGTATCAGTATAAATATATTATATCTATCTATCTATCTATCTATCTATCTACATGTTTCCGCATGATATGTGGTTTCATGATAGTGCGAGAATGCCTATATACATATATAAATGATTAACGCATGTTTCCGCATAGTCTGTGATTTCATAGGAGTGAGTAAATGCATATATATATATACATGTTTCCGCATAATATGTCATTTCATAAAAGTGAGTGAATGCATCTGTATATATATATATATGTGTGTGTGTACACGCATGTTTTCGCATAGTATGTGATTTCATACTAGTGAGTGAAGGCATGTGTATACACATATATATGCACACATATTTTTGTACACAAATTGATTGGCATATATACAGTTATAACTTCAATATGTTTTTGTTGGAACGGAAAACATCGACAAATGCACATCAGGATGCGCAAGGTATGCAGATTATCACCTGTAGAGGGGAAGGTCTTCTTGGAAATGGCAAATGAACCCATGAGAAATCTATTTGCCGTTAAAAGCTGAAGATATTAATGCGGATTTATGTGGATGTAAGCCCAATGGGTTTCAGAAAGATCCCATGTGGAACGTAGGAGAAGAAACTAGTTCGGTCTTTACGGCAGAGGTAGCTGCGCGCCCAACCTGCATCACGTTTGAAGAGGTATGGAAGCTGATCAACAGCAGCATGGCTTGAAGGGGGAAAAAGGATAAGAGGCAGAATGTCGGAAAAATGTCGCCCTCAATTCCAAACAAGATGAATTTGTGGTTGATGAGCATTCCTTTGTCAACCCATTGCCATAGACAATGACGGCCTCCAGCTAAATGAGAGACAAAACTTGAGATGTGGCAGGCGCAGAACGCCAAGTCTGTTGTACATGTTATTTCCTTCTACGGTAAGTCAATAAATAAGCACCATCCAAAAACCACAGATTAATGCTGAAATGTGTTGACCTTAGCGTCTCATTTTGGAAGGTTCATTTACGGCTTGTGACCTAGATCCTGTTGGTGGCCTGTGCTGAGGCACCACTCCTTTGGGCCACAATCTTACGGTAGAGCTCCAGCAGATCTTCAATGAACAATTGATGAAAAGGTGCCAAACAGCTGGGGGCTGGTTCGCCCAGATTCAAACGGAGATAAATGGAGTTTTAGTGGGAATAGGATGGAATAGGAAATATAGCCAGCAACAAATGGGAAGAGACCGTGCACGTGTGGTCGAAACCATTAACCAGATTTGGAGCTGGGTTGGGATGCCCTTTGGTGCATTGGGGAAGACAAACAAGGCGAATTTTCCTTGGGGCACCACAAGTAATATGCGATTTTGTTCATCCACGCATTTCCTTCTTGGTGAATTCAATGAAGGCAGGCATGATGTTGATATATATTTATATATATATATATATTTGTTACATATTTATTTAATACATTTATATATTGGTATATGTTGTGTTCCGTTTTTCCAGTTGTAGAAGAATACATATATATATACAATGAATCATGCATTTGTGCCAATAGGCTGCTCACGTGATTCTTAAGTCATGGGCCCTGACGACTTGAGCCTTCTCTGATTTCATGTGCTCAAAGCACGTAGTTTGGTTGTATTCTTGAAATTGTTTCCAGCGTGTTGAAAAGCACACTAGGAAATTGTGGCATGTTCATTCCCAAACTCGAGTCCCAAAGGGACCGTATTTGATTTAGCATATCAAACATCAAAAGAACAAATGGCAAAATGAGGGGCCATACACGTATATGTTGTTTCATCGTTCCCTCTTTCTCTCTGTGTAAGATGTACTGTATATGTTATAAAATATAAATGTATTTATATATTCATTAAATTAATTTGACTTGATCTTGGTTTCACGACGTGATTTCCCAACCTCACCCCTGACCAAAGTTGTTGGGGCCAGGAGTGACGTCCATGAACCTCCAGAGCAAGCCTTGGACTTTGCAGATTTCCTGCGGTTTCTTGGCAGTCCAGACAGAGCTCATCCAGAGATACTGGTGCAGAATGGCTGGGAACGTCCTGCAGGAATAGTTGATGACGATATCCCATTAAATCCACTTCTATCCAATTAATATCCAGATAGTATCCAATTGATTTCCCGAGAACGATAAAACCTTTGGGGATGGGTCAAACCTCACTACAATATATATTATATATATACATATATATATACATATTTATATATATATTGTTTTTATTTATACTTATAATATGTTATATGATGCCAAATTTGGCGGTATGAAGGTTCATACATTCTTTCCGCTTGAACGTTCACCAGGACATTTCATATTGACAAAACGGATTTTTGAATACATTCGTGGTAGGTTTGGCCGTATTGCGGCCGAACATCACCCAGTACCGGAGATTTGTAGAGTCACCAAGGTGACGCGTATAAATGCTATGCTAGTTGCGAGGGCTAGAGTGTAAAAGTCCCGGCTCGAATTGGACAGGACAGTGTCTTTACTTTTGTTCCCGCATTGAGCCACAACCAATTGGATTGAAAAGCTATATCTCACTTGACATGTTGATGTTTCAACATGCAGGTAATGCACAGTTCAGCTAAGGGACGGACCACAATGTAGAGACGACCATGTGTTTGACATGCCCTCTCGCTTTCACAATTAATCACTTGATGTTTCGCTAATACCTCTTGGTAATGGAACATAGCTATGGATCATGGCCCATTTGTAGATGAATCACCTTGTAGGTATGGTGATTGTCCATGGGCATCTTGAAATACAAGACAAGAAAGATAATATAAGAAGATATAAGGAGAAAATAGCGCCCCCCAAGTTTGGGTGTAAGTTCCCTGCAGCTTTGTTCAACCAGGTTCATGAGAAGGTTGATGGACATGAACTTTGCCAAGCTTGCGCATGATCAATGATCATGTCAGGTGCCAAGGACTTGGCACTGTGCACTTCCCTCTTGATGTCCTAGAACATAGATGATAAAATTAAAAAAAAAACATGAACAACGATGTTCCCATACATTCCAGATATTCCAGATATTCCAGATATTCCAGGAACAAAAGGGGAGAGCGCTAGGGATTTCCATTGCCAGGTGGGCCAAATGTCGCTGAATGCTGAGTGCATTCCCCTGCACCTCAGTGTGGCTCAGTCAGCCCACATTGAGGGTCTCATTTTATTCCCGCAATGTCACTGTACAGAGGCATGGGGATCTTAGTTGCGCTTGCGGCGCCCTGGTTGCCCAAAGAAAAGAAAAACGCGAGGGATGATACGACGCTCCAAGATACCCTTCG